GCTCTGACCCTAATGACTTGCAGGCACTGACTCCTGGTCATTTTTTGATTTTTGAACCCATAGTGGATTCAATTCCCGATCCAGATCTAAGCGCTTTAAAGATTAACCGTCTGAATCGTTGGCAGTTAATTCAAAGGATAAAGGGGGATTTTTGGAAAAGATGGTCTAAAGATTATATTCATTCTCTTCAAGAGCGATCTAAATGGCATAGTCCAACCCCATCTCTCGTTAAAGGTTCGCTAGTCCTCATAAAAAATGAACAACAGCCTCCTCTTCGCTGGCAGTTGGCCAGAATCATTGAGTTGCATTATGGCACCGACGGTATTGCACGGGTTGTTACTCTGAGGACAGCTTCAGATGGCATCCTACAACGTCCGGTGGTCAAGATCTGTCCACTACCTATTTGTTAACAACTATATCTTTCTTCATTTCTATTATTATTATAATTTAGTGTTCGTTTTTATTCTTATTATTGTAGTTGATTCTTAAAAAACATTCGTTTTGGGGCGGAGAATGTTTGGAAAAGTGTCAAGTAATTTAAATATTTTATTTTTATTATTACGAGTATGACCTTATTTAGTTTTAAATTTTATTTAATCATAATATATTACCTAATTGCAATATGGCTTTAGTTTATTTTTAAATTCTCGAACTCAAATTGGCTGATTAATTATTGTCAAGTTCTGAGAATTCACTTGTCTGAAATTCAACATGTTTTTGGGAAACATATATCAACCCAAAACACTTCAGATTCCTTAAGAAAACGTATCCGCCTTTGTGTAGCAAGTAAAGAATGTCACTTTAAGTTTAATTTACGGCTATTCACGGAGGTCTCTAAAAACAGTACCCTCTAGTCGATTTGGGGTAATAGATACGTGCCCCTTTGCATATGATCGACGACTCTTCAAAAACCTCTCGTCCTGTACAGAAGCAAGCGCCAAGCAGATCACCACAGCAGTGTATCTCACGCCAACCCTAGCCGGGCCGACTATAGACAAAAAGGTAAGTGAATCTCATATAGAATTGACAATAAGATATAAAATCTGCCAATTGTTATTTGAATTCATTTTATTTTACATATATTTGCCACAAATATTCGCTATTTTCGCTAATCTTATATACAATCTAATATTGCATTTTTTCTTTAAAAATTATTTATCCAATACAATTTAACCAGCGATCTCTCAAGTTTAATCACTAAACACATTGCATCAGTAAAACAAACTTAAAGAATGGGAAAATTACGTCACGAACCTATTTGAAGACGATAGAAGTAGTTGACCTCCCGATATTACTAACTGCGACTGACCCCTAATAGCACGCTCTGAGGTTATAAAAGCCATACAATCATCAAAAGATGGCAGAGCGACTGGTCCTGATGAAATTCCAACTGAAATATATAAGCTTATAAATGATAGCAATGTTTTAGAGGCTATAGCTTTGTTCTTCAATACCATTTATACCAGCGGACATGGTAAATCTATAAAACAGTGCATTAGACCAACCTAATGGTTCACTGTTTAGTGCTATACCTAAGAAGAACACAGCAAAAACCTGTGCTGATTATAGAACCATCAGTTTGTTAAACCACTTATTGAAAATTTTTCTGAAAGTAATACATGGTCGTATTTACAATAAATGCGAGGAATACCTGGATGACACTCAGTTTGGTTTCCGTAGCGGGTTTGGAACGAGAGAGGCACTGTTTGAAATGAACTTACTTGCTCAAAGATGTCGTGATATATTTGTAGACATATACTGTTGTATTATTGACTTCCAAAGGGCATTTGATGGTGTTAAGCACTCTATATTGATCGAAGCTCTAAAAGACATTGGATTGGACGGCAGAGATGTTCGAATAATTGCAAATTTATATTGGAATCAAACAACATCAGTTTTAGTAGATGGTGTAGAATCACAGGCTCTCAATATTGTCACCTCTACTTTTTAACGTTTACTCCGAAAGAATTTTCAGAAAAGCACTTTCTGAAAAACAAGAACGAATACTTGTGAACGGCGAAGTCATCAATAATTTGCGATATGCGGACGATACAGAACTCCTAGCTTCTAGTCAAGAAGATCTGCAAACACTACTTGATAGTGTCGTTGATGGTTGTAGGGAGGTAGGTCTGGATCTTAACATACGGAAAACTAAAACTGGCATTGAGGATCCGCCTACTTCGATACTACGTATTCTCGGTCTTACTTTATGGTATCGAGTCCTGCACTGTAAATAAAATCGATCTAAATCGCCTTGGGGCTTTCGAAATGTGGTGCTATAGAAGAATTTTAAAAGTTTCCTGGGTGGAGAAGATTCGAAACTCAACAATCCTAGAACGTCTCGGCAAGACTACCGAGATCATAAAAAGTATCAAGCAGAGAAAGCTGGAATATTTCGACCATGTAATGAGAGGTCTCAAATATAGGTTGCTACACAATATCATGCAAGGAAAAATAGCAGACGAACGCAGTCCAGGACAAAGAAGAACCTCATGGTTGAAGAACTTGCGAGATTGGCATGGGGTTGATACAAGCATGCTATTTGGGGTGGCAGTGAATAAAATTAAGATAGCTATGATGGTAACCAACGTTCTGAAAGGACATGGTACATGAAGAAGAAAATTGCATCAGAATCCGAAGAACAGCATATCGCATTTAGAAGAAATTTTTAAAAGACTTAAGCAATTTGGCGTTGTGATTAATCCAGGAAAGTGTCAGTTCGGCAAAAACGAGACTATATTTTTGGGATATACAGTATCAGCAGCAGGACTCAAACTTCCTCAAGAAAAAGTAGCAGCTGTACAAAATTTCACTCATCCAAAAACAGTGAAAGACTTGCGTAGATTTCTAGGTATGTTGAACTTATATCGAAGGTTCATACACAATGCAGCTGAGCTTCAAGTACCACTACATGATGCCCTAAAAGAAAATGGCAAAGGAGAAGCACTAGTTAAATGGATACCACAGCGGATCCAAGCCTTTGAAGATTGCAAAAGTAGTTTTGCTAACGCTACTTTACTGAGCCACCCTATAAACGATGCTGATATATCCACCACTTGTGATGCTTCCGATTTTTGTGCTGGAGCTGTATTACAACAAAAAACGGATACAGGTATTAAACCTTTAGCATTCTTTTTCAAAAAATTCTCACCTAGTGAAAAGAAATATAGTGTGTACGACAGAAAATGATTGGCTATATATTTAGATATAAAACATTTTAGACATATGATCGAAGGCAAAGACATAACCATATCCACTGATCACAAACCAATCACCTTGGCCTTTACACAGAAGCTAGACACATGCAGTCCTAGACAATTTTGATATTTAGATTTTATAGGACAGTTTTGCACCAACATTCAGCACATTTCTGGATTAAAAAATATTGTAGCAGACACACTATCTTGATTCGATAGCATCAAGAAAGATATCGACATCACGAAATTAGCTCTCGCACAAAAATCAGATCCAGAACTAAAAACGTACTTAGGAGAAAAAAACATCATTGCAATTAAAGAAAATACGGTTTTCTGAACAAAACGTTAGTTTGTACTGTGACGTAGCAACATCTCCGGCCAGACCATTTGTACCGAAACCACTCCGAATGGCAATTTTCAGCACCATGCATAATCTAGCACATCCTGGAATCAACAGTTCTGTGAGGATGATCATACAGCGATATGTTTGGCCTTCAATCAAATCAGATGTGAGAAAATGGACTCGAGCGTGTCTACATTGCCAAAAATCAAAAATATCGCGCCACATTGTTTCACCGATTGGAAGTTTCCTACCACCTTCCAGCCGATTCGAACATGTTCACATTATAGTGATGCCGATTTCTGAATGAAATAGCACTTAACATGTGTCGACCGTTTAACGCGTTGGCCGTAAGCTTTTCCAATGCCCAATCAAGAAGGAGATACAGTAGCCAGAACATTTTTTTCTAGATGGATAGCTCGTTTTGGCACATGGTTTTAGCTACATTTTCGCTTTTAAAAATCAAAGAACGCGTGTTCTGATTTAGTTTAAGTGTTCAGTATTCTTTTAGACAGCATTTACTTCGGATCGCGATACATATACAAAAAATACCGTCCCTTCGGGAATTAATTACGTTTTTTCAAAATAAATAAATATTATTGACAGCTTTTCTACGTTTTATTCAATTTAATTATTATTTTTGTGTCCGTGGTGGGAAGTATGTTTATTACACACGCATCCACACAACCACGGAACAAACTATTTTTATAGTTTTCAGGACAAAAAAAAGCAAGTCAATTAGCGGAACTGAATTTAAAATTACTCTGCACATTTTATTTGATTTGGTTAAAACATCTCATTTTCGGTCGGAAAAAATATCAATTTGAAAAATATAATTTGTAAAATATAACTAAAGGTGCTATTTGTTTGAATTTTCCGTCAGACGATAGATATATTGAGGCAACTTTCCATACAAGAAAAACAAAATCTTTATTCATTCATAAAATTGTATACCTAGTAAGTAGGAGGCAACTTTGCATAGAAGAAAAACAAAAAATTTATTCTGTCATAAAATTGTATACCTAGTAAGTCAGAGATTATTATCATAATTATTTGTCTAGGTATGATTATCATACTTGTGAATCATATTTCCTGCGATGATACAAAAATTTCACTCCCATGTTGTAACCGTGTAACCAACACATGAATCGTACTACAATGAAAACATTAGTAAACTAATTAGTATAAAATGAAGGTCAAAGTCATTATTCACTGCTAAAAGTACTTTTATTTTCACTTAATATCTATTTTATTTTAATAGTGCTTAATAGCTGTCCAGTCACAATAAACAGTCTACTTTTGAGTTGAAAATAAATACGAAACCATATTTGTAAGAGTGTAAATATAGATATTGCAAATCAATTATTTATATAAAATCCAACAGGTAGAAAATCCCTACCGTTATCAGTTCCAACTAAATATTACCTACTTATCACCATTATCTATTCCACCTGTTTTATCTCATTCATACACAACCTATAGCCGAAGTCAAAACGATGTGATTAAGTGAATTTTTGTACACGCCTAGTTTGTAGTTTAGATTTTAAAATTCTTCAGTCAGTTTTATTTGTTAATGTTATATAATGAGTTCGACTGTAGTGTATCTAATTGTTTTTATTGTTAGTGTTTCTACAGTGGTATGTGGTAATTTAAGCGATTCAGTGTTAGAGCAATTAATGGCAATCAGTATGTATGACTTTCTTTTTCTTAATATTTTTTATAAATATAACAAAACCGTCAAAATATTTGTTGAAAACAGAATTAGTTATTTCTAGAAACACCTAATCTAATATTGTTTACCTATTTACTGTTTAATTGCCAAATTGTCAAAAATTAATTATTTTGAATTTATTTTGAAGCATTCCTATAATATTGATGACATGTGAGGAATAAAAGTAAAACAAAAGTCTTCAATAAAAGCATTTAGTGCAGAGGAATATATAAAATATCGACAATGATTGTAACATCCAACAAAATACAAAAACAGTAGATACAGTATCTCATATATTGCCCGACCAAGCCTTAGAATTGATAAAAACATCTATTACTGCAGTATCGTTTTTATTTCAAGGTATTAAATGATATAGATTACTTAATAGATTAATGCTTAGGAATAAAAAAATATTTTATTGCGATTTTATAACCATTTATATTAAACGGTTTGGGTGCGTTGCTACTAACGGAAAAATTATCTATTATGATATGTATAGTATACATGACGTGATTGTGTTTTGGAATGATAAGAATAAAATATTTACCATAGGGATTGGGATTACATGCCAACATTTTAAGATAGTCTGTGCACAATCAACAATTTCCAAAAGGAAGGACTGTAATGTCTTATGGACTAATGTCCACAAGATTTCATTCTTGTCTCAGATTTCTCACCCCTTGATGTACGCTCTACAATTATTAATACAAGACTATCTGATCAAAAAGCAGTATATACCAAGTTTAACACTCTTTACAAACAATCTTTGAAAACCCAACGTTTAGGTAGGTTTATTTCTGCTCAGAACATTCGTAAACTCCAAAAGTTGTACTTGACTTCTAGGTGGCAATTTCCCTCTGTGGAAGTGGACTATAATTCAGTGATTTTTTGGATAGGCTTGTCTGTATTTTTAATAAGGCATTTCCTTTAATTACAATTAAGTCAAAACATCACAAACCCTGGACTACCAAAGGTATCCGCATATCAGCCAAAAATATGCGTTCACTTCGGTACATCAAGAAATTTACTACCAACGTCTTTGTCACTGGATATATGTCCAAGTACAGAGGAACCTATCAATAATTTATTAAATCAGCTAAAAAAATGTACTATCAGAATCGTTTGGAAAGCTCTAAAAATGTTGCAAGAGAAACAGTCCATAATAAACGATTTTCGAAATAAAACTAACACAGCTTAAAAATTTTCTCTTCCAAATCCTGATAATCTAAAGGAATACTTCGTTAATGTGAGTAAAAATATAACATCAACTATTTTTCCACAACAAGATCCTACTTTCTATCTCCCCAATTCAAAAAAGGTCTCGAACTCATTCTTGATAAGAGCAGTTCATAAATCTGAACTGATCCAAACAACCAGTAATATTAAAAGCAAATCTTCCTGTAGTACTGGAAAGTACCCCACTAATGTCCTTTCTCGTGAAAAACAACATTTTAACAAAAAGTCAGTTCGGCTTTTTAACTAATAAATGTACAGCGATTCAGGTGTATTTCCATAGTGCCTAAATGCAGCCATTATTATTCCTTTTTATAAGGGTGGTAAAAATCAAATGTCTGCAACTATAGACCTATTGCCTTACTACCAGTACTATGCAAAATTATTGAGACTTATAAAAGCCCGACTTAGGTGCTTTCTCGTTGAAAACAACATTTTACCATAAAGTCAGTTCAGATTTTTATCTAATAAATGTACTAACATTGCTATGTTTTCTGCACTACATCAGGTCTATAAGCACTAAATAATAATCTTTATAATGCCACTGTTTTTGTGACTACACTAAAGCTTTTGATTGTGTAAAAATCACGATATTTTGATAAAAAAAACTAAATTTCTACGGAAGTCGAGGTATTTCTTTGAATTGGTTCCAATCTTACTTGAGGAACATGAAACAACTAGTGAGAGCAAATGATACTGACTCTAGTCACAAAAGCATTGTATGTGGAGTACCACAAGGGTCAGTACTGGATCCTCTATTTATCTATATCTTTATAAATAACATCACTAACTTAAAATCGATGACATTTTCTTTCTTTTTGCTGATGATACCAGTATTACCTGGATGAACTCTGATATTACAACTCTTCTTGCAATTATAACCTCTGATCTACTTAAAATAAAAACCTGGTCCGACTCTAATTTACTGTCTTTTAACGTGGATATGACAGTAGCATTATCTTATAAAAGAGCTCTTCAACCCATGCTTTTTATTAACAGCCAGATCAGTATCGTTGATTCTGTAAAATTTCTTGGTATCTTTGTAGACAGCAACCTTAAATGGTTCCTTCGTATCGATTTGTTAACACGTTGAGAGCGTTAGCAAATTTAGCCCTTTTAATTTTTATGCATTACATGCACTGTGGTACTTGTATATAATCTACTTTTGTGTGCGATACAAGCACCCGAGACCATGTATGCATCAATAGCTGTATTGCCATCTAGGAGGAAGTGACGTAAATAATTGAGCACTCCGGTTGATTTTCTGTAATAAGAAGGTAGTAAAGTATACTAGACTCGATTTGTACATATATCTGAGTATATGTAACGCATATAAATACAGGTTTAGTTATCAATATAAACATAAGGATATACAATGTTCTAATAAAATTAGCGTTTATTTTCTGTACCAATACATAAAATAATATTAACATTAATATAAGTAAAATAATAATAATTAACAATGAAAATTATTAAAACACGGTAAGCAAAATCCTGGGGTATTTGGACAATCTTGGCAGAATGAGGTTACTCTGCGAACTTTTCGGTCGGCTTCTCTACTAGATAGGGTAATCCGAAGTGTTTTGTAGCAACTGGTGCACACTTTTTTCTTTTTTCTACCAGGCCCTTCAGGTTTTACAAAAGTATGGATTCTCTTTCTGGGGACTTGCTCGATTATTCGTTCATTACATGATGCTGCTGAAGCTGAAGGTGCTGCTGAGGTTAATTCTTCTGCCAATTGTCTTCTAAAATCAGTAATACTTAATTTTGTAGTTGACAGATTATTAAATACAATCCAAGAGTTAACAACGGTGGTACCAAAAAGGAGTTCAAATGCAACTTTTCTGAAAAATAAAAAACAAATTGAACACACAACTAATAGTGATATAATGTGCATGTTTAACATTACCTGTACCATTTTAAGGTTCTTCGTAGTACAGAGTGGTAAGAACTCATTTGATCGCTGACATCCACCCCCTTCTTGGCTTTATTGTAGTCGAGGACACATGCTGGCTTCATAACACTTTCATTTTTGCGATTTTTTTTACCTAAAATAGATATAAATGAATATTTATTTACTGACAACAAATTGTAATTACAACTTACCAGTGTCTATCAGTGCAGCATCGTGTTCTGGAATGGTAGAAATCATTAAAACTGGTCTTTTATCCATCCATTTGATGATTTTGGCTTTGCCTTTCTGCTTTCCTTCAATTTCCCCCTTTTTCATGTTTTTTTTTGAACATTTGTGGAACTCCTCTTCTATTGCTCCTTAGTGTACCACAATACAGAAATTTCAATTCATACAAATTTTCAGCAACAGGAATACTGGAATAAAAGTTGTCAGCGAATAAGATTCTACCCTTGTGTTTCTCTAGAGGTTCTATCAATTTCATAATCACCGTTTCAGTGTGAGCAATATCAACCAATTTGTTCTCAGCCTTTCCTGTATAAATTGTTACATTATAAGTGTAACCACTTCCTGAGCACAATTTGTATAATTTGACTCCATACCTGTGCGTTTTATTTTTTATGTATTGTCGAAAATGTACCCTTCCTCGAAATGGTACCATGGATTCATCTATTACAATGGTTCTTCCTGGAGTAAAAACTTGTTGAAAATTTCTTAGTAATATTTTCAATACTGGTTCAATTTTGTATAGCTTGTTGTTCACATCGGCAAGTTCATTCCTATTAAAATGAATGAATTTTAACAATAAAAGGAATCTGTCTCTTTTCATCTTCGTAACAATGAAACCGTTGCGATAAGCAGGATCTTTAGACCAGTATTGGTAAATACTAGGCACTGAATTTAATCCCATGATTAGAATGACGCCAAAAAAGTTTAACATCTCATAACTATTTGTCTCTGTCCACAATCTAATTCTAGATTTGCTTCTGAATCCCTTCTGAATATGATCATTTGCAAATGCATTGGTTTCATTAACAATTAGTTCCAAGAGATCGTCGGTAACAAAATGTCTGAATATATCAACGGGTTTAATTGTGGCCGGTAGGTTGTCTATATTTATAACATCTGATTCTTGTAAGAGATCAAAATCGCTCGTTTTTACACGAATATTTTCCCAAGAACTTGCTTGCTGTTGCGGTACTATTTCCTGTATTTCTTCGTCTGCTATATTGTAATTATCATATTCAGGAGAGTCAGATGAACTATCATCGTATTCAGATTCATTATCTGAATCTGAACCGGCTGACGAAACTTCATATGTCTTATCTAATATCGAATCATCGCTATCGAAAGGGTCTAATACAGACGTACTTGAAATGGGTGAGTTTGACACTTCTGCATTTGTTAAAACATTTGCATTTTCCCCTTCTGCTGCTATTGCATCAATTGACGTTTTCGTACCTTCTTCTGGATAAATTTGTGTGTTCTGTTTATCACCATTTTTGTAGCAAGATGCTGACGTATCTGGTTTAGAATAATTTCCTTGCTGAGTATTCGGTACTTCAAAAGTTTGTTTAACTTTTTTATGTTTTTCGGTAAGCACCGTTAAATTTAATATTCTTTTGGTTCGATTACTCATTTTAATAACGATTCACTTTAAATTAGCACTTATTCTACTCAACAATACACAAACACGATGTAACTATACACCAATTAAAAATTTTAGGTTAGAATTTGCACGTGTACTTTACATATACTCGGGTGTGGGTAACGCAGTGAACTAAAACGATTTTACTTCTGTGCGATACATGTATTTGGGTATATGTATCA